CACACACACACACACACACACACACACACACACACACACACACACACACACACACACCTGCCTGTGTGCATATTTACAGGAAGCCACACGAAAGCAATGCCACATAATCCACTGAGTACACTGTTACACAGCCTCTTACTTGGCTTCACAATGGCACCGCAGCAATTCTGTTTTTGTCATTACTGATTGCCTTCCTCTACCTGTGTGTGCCAGCCACTCTCATACATGACTGAGCAAGAGTCCCATAATACAAAGGTTAATATGATGGGTTTAGGTTTATTATGCAATTATGGGAACATAAGAATCAAGATTAAAAGAAAAAAAAACCCACAGAACCATATTGTACCTGTTACACACACTTTACATCACTCCTAGCTCGTGCCACCTCTGACTTTCTCCCCTCGCTATCTGCTTTGTGTTGAGGAGGCGACAGCTTGCAGTAATTTAAAGTAATCGGATGATTCTCTCTCTTTTCATAATCCGAGACACACAGGCTGCTGTGAGGTAACCTGCTTTGGATGGGACCGCTGCAATAGTCAGTCGACAGACAGCCCACGTACTGTAGCGTGGACGCTACTTGTTGAAAATAAATTACACTCTTTCAGACGGCATGAGAACGATCTCTTACAAGGTAGTGTCGGGGACACTGCCGCTCTGTTAGGAAAGTGACTTACAGACCACGTGGTTAAGATGGGTTTTTAACCTCAAGACCAACATAAATACAACTTAATTCATTTTATCCACCTTAATCGCGTCAAAAAAAAATACCCATAAACAAGCGTGGTGCTGGTGACATTAAAGAAATTACTGACATTTACTATTACTCTTATTAAGATCACAGCCAGAGAATCATAATCAATAGCTCGTTGATATCTGAACTAGACTACAGGTCTGGAGTGCTTACAAATATGTAGAGTCGTCTTGAATAAAGCCGACGTCAGTTTACTAAACCAGCATTAATAATCCCTTCAGCCAGTTTCAGCACCACGGACAGCGAATCTTCTCACTGGTCCATATACATAGTATTCAAAGTACTTTATGATACTGTATTTTGGACTTTTTTCATTGCAGGTGTCATATTATGCCTATAGCCTATAACCCCCACCCTCCCCCCAATTTTGGTAGCAGAAGGGATGTTTTGTATCCACACAAACGCGCATTGCTTCATCTCTACCCACCCCCAAAAGAAAGAAAGAAAGAAAATACCTTGTGGAGGGGTTTGAACTGTGTGGGTTTATAATGCTCTGGAAATAGAAGCAGCAGTCAGGAGCAGAGCAAATACATGAAACAGAAGCGGTGTCTTTGGGTGACTAAAGTCACTACCACACACACACACACACACACACACACACACACACACACACACACACACACACACACACTATAAGTCAGAGATGTTTCAGGCAGTAAAGTAACACGGGCTCCGACTGGATGCACTGTACGACTTACCGTGTCGTCCTCGTTGAAGCCATATGTTTCACACACAAATCTACTTTTCCGCACACTGTTGCTGTCTTTGGGCCGCGGTAACACACAGCCCGGTGGAAAAAATCCAAGAAATAACATCCACACAACTCATCCACCCGCCTCGGTTAAGGACTGACCCCACTTTTGTGTGTATTGAGGGGGGAAGAAGAAAATCCCGTTGTCGGTCCCTTCAAGACGAGAGAAACATCGAGTAGTTTATTTTCAAGTCACACAAAAGAAAGAAAAAGAAAAGGAGGAAGAAGAAAAAGAAGCGATGCTCTTCATGCCATGCTCTTCGCCTTCGTGCGGTAAAGATAGTCTTCCTCTGCTCTAGTCTCCTTTAGTTTAAGTCCCCAGTGTGGGAGTCACAAGGTAACTACGAGCTCTGTAGGAGAGACAGAGTAACAGTATATGTGCTCTAATGTTCTCCCTTGCTTTCCCAGCCAAAGAGAGGGAGAGGGGGGTGGGGGGGAGACCGAGCGACACCAGCTGAAGGAAGAGAGAGGCGATGCGCAGTCAGAGAGAGAATATTTGTCTTATGGTAGCTGTGCAAGTACCGCAGGAGCAGCAAGCGGCAGGGATGGTGATCGGTGCACCGTCGGTGCGCCGTAATCTAATTACCTCAACGGCAAAAAGCGCCCGGATTAGCGGGTGGTTGCTCTGCTATGTCCCGCTGCTCTGCTCTGGTCTTTGCGTCGCATGGCGGAGAGGGGAGGATAGGAGCGCTATCAGACTATCCTATCAAATTTTAATTAGTCAGTACTCTCTCATACTCACTCACTTAAAAAAGCAAAACAAAAAAACAAAACAGCAAATGACAGAAAGACACAAATAATGATTCGAGACAGCACATCACTTTCCTGCCCTGAAATCAAATGCCTTTTATTTGGATACTCAGAGGTAAAAACAAACAAAAATCGCCGTGATTGTGTTTCTGTTTCTTTTGGCATTGCAGCAAAGGTCATTCCACAGGTGCGCGGTTCCATATTAAAAAGGCACACCTTGCCAACTGTGCAGGACCGGGTGAACTTTAATTCCCTACGTGCATTGTGGAAAGAGACACCAGTTAACCGCTGGATTTCATGCTTCTCTGGAGTATCAGTTTTTAAGAGCTGACTGCTAATGTGTTTCTTTCACTGTTCCAATACTTGCAAAGTCCAATTTCAAGAAGTCACCTTGCTCAGTTCTCCGTAATAACACCTTAGACATGTTCTTTTAAGTAAGCTAAGTAATGCTGCAGATCGCACAAGACACCACATTAAATACAATTAGGATACAGAGAGTTGACATTAAAAATTATCCTGGCGTTGTACATTGAACTTTATCATCATTACATTCACAGTTACTCCAGCAATCACACTCCCCAATGGCAGTGGTCTCTCCTGGACACACAGGGCCACAGTAACATTGTAAAAACTGCTTAGAAAAGCATAACAGAGCTCAAAGAGCTGTTCAATAGTGCAGGGAGACTCCAAAGGTCTTGTTCTGTTGCACGGGGCCACTCAAAAGTGCCTTGAGGCAAAGCTTGTTGTGCTGTATAAATAAAACTGAATTGAATTGACTTCTATAAATTCCTATTGTATAAAATAGCAGTGAAGTCTATGGCAATTGAACATATTATCATTTGTTTTGCATGCATGCAAAGATAATTCAGCAAGTAACCTTTGAACAACACATTTATAGTAAGACAGCAAAATGGCAAAATTGTACATAAAAGAGTGCTCCACTAGTTAACCATCATTTGAATGGCACCATCAAACTCATGATAGGCAGATTAAAAAAAGCGGGTTCAGAAAAAACAGACTAACTACTCTTCATTTTCAAAATTTGACCTTCACTTTACCCACAATACAATTCAGCCACCCCCAGCTTCTTTGGATATTTATGTACATTAAGATTAGTATCAGCTAAAATAGCCTGAAGTCACTATCCTCATGCAGAGATCTGGTAAGGTCACATCTTTCTAACTCCGACACCCATGGTTTTTTTTTTAAACATGGCCCCACTACTTGAGGTATTTGCACAGCTTGCACTTTAACCATAAAAGGCTTCATGTGGCTTTTCTTTTTTTTGGTTACAAATACTGTAATACTTCCCAAGACCTGTAAACAGACTTTGATGTGCAAACTCAGAGGAAACACAAATACAGTGCCCGAGAAAATGATTCCATGCATACTATTAAAGATTTCACACCACAGGTTACCTACCCTTTATGTCTTTGTATGAGGAAGTAACTCCATACGCAAACTGTAGACTGACCCTGCTGTAGAAACGAATCCCTGAACTGCCAATACACTGCTACCCTTGACAGTAACATGATACAGAACATCAGCAAATGTTGCTTAAATATTTCCAAGATACTTCTAGATAAAAGTTTTACAAGCCTATATAAAATGCAGTATTTCTACTAAAAAATTCTGTAGTTTCAGTCTTTTTACACAGGAGGAGCTGCAGAATGCATGCTGGCTAAACTTGCTAATTTTCAAAGAGTTTCTTTGCAGATACAGAATGTAGATTCCAGAAGCATCACCCAACTCCTGCAGAATCTCCGTAAAGACTTGATAATAAGTCTTGAGTGAGGGTTAATCAGTCTCTAAAGAAAATCAACCTTTGCACCTCACAACATCCATATAATATAACAATTATTCTCAATCCACTGATCGTTTTACTCCTCCCCCTCTTTTTAAAAACAAAAGATGACTTCACAGGCAATGACAAAGGGTTGTTTATTTTGTGAGTCATTGTCCTTTAATCAAACTGCACATTGGCACTTGAAAAAAAAAGGAAAATATATCAGCATAGCAGTAGAAATGGGCTACCTGAAGACAAGAAGAGTAAACACAGACTTCATTTAGCCAGTGTCTAGTCTGTTTGCTCATCTGGACAGAAAAGAAGAGTAAGCTGAAAGAAGGGGATCTAAAACTGAGTAATCCTTAATAATCAAGCTTCACCGCTACGTTGTTTAAATTGTGCAAGTGTTTAGAAACTGTGAGCAAACTGTTAAAATAGTTTGTCTTAAATAGGCCACATTTGAGCCTATTTAAGATAATAATTGCTACAAACGATTGATTATTGAATACAAAAATCAAACTGCTAGAATGCCACTTGCTCAAATTATAATTTAGTTATAATTTACTTGGAGATCTTGAAAAGGTACAGGTTAGCTTCTGTTGGCACTGCAATATGAAATTCACATGTTGTCGTCATTCTGTAGCACAAAATAAAGTTACAGCTATCACACGAGTTCATGAGTGCACTAGCTTGTGTTGCTTCATAGAGGTCAGATTTTAAATCACAGCAATTTAAGCACTGTTTATAATAGAAATATAAAGCTGAGAATATTTTTTTCACTCTTAAGTAACATGTTGCATGGAAAGCAGAAAAAAATAATCTATAATCACCACGAAACAACTTCAGGATGTGGACCAGCAGGCATAGACCAGGATAAAAGTGCACCTGAGTTAAGAACAGATTTGACTCCTGGCTTTATATTCGACTGATAAAACACGAGATAGGAAGAGTGATAGCTGTAAAACAGCCATCTGCTCGTTGTTTTTTTTATTTTTTTTAATAGTGCATCTTGTAATTACCTTCCTTATTTATTAATTTGATGAAAAAGTTAGAATATGATGAATGTGCTAGACATTCTGCGTTTCCTCACGATAACTGTAACATGTACATGTACTGAACAGTGAAAAAAACAGAAGTGGCCCTGTTGGGTTGGATTGATGTGAAAGCAGTTACAGAGTTTGGCCACTTTAAATTGAAATCTGATTGCACAAATTAAAAGTTTCAAATCGCTTCCAGTAAAAGGGGTTTGCCATCAGAGGGCCAGGCCAATTATAGCCCCACACCACTGTGATCTTACCTGTGTGTCCATCTGCTCCGCTCTGCTCTTTGGGATTACATCAAATCCTATTGAGCTCATGGGACAGAAGCCAAGATCAGCATGCCTGAACCAATCATTATAAACCCCCAGCACAAGAGAAGTTTGTCTTTTCTTACAAAGCACAATGTGGCTAAAAATGAATGATCATTAAGTGATTATTAATGCTCAGCTGAGTCAATATAATAGGTAGACATTTTACAGTGCTATTACAGAAATAATAAGTGGTGCAGCATACGGTGCACAGACAGGAGAGTCAGGTGGCTAAAGATACTGTCACATAACTGATTGAACACCACTGATTTTTAATACTGATCCATGCAGGTGAAATTCTCTTTCCAACCTCAACTGTAGTGCAGATCAAAGTTACACATCCAGGATAGATGTAAATTTGAAATGCATATAAAAATGGTACCTTTTAATTTTTCTTATACAAATTCACTCAGATTATTCATCTTAGCTCAAAAACTCTAACTTCTCTTAAAAAACACCTTTTTCTCACTGAGTTTGGTCTAGCTTTAATGGATTTTCTCAAGAAAACACCAACAAAAGAAAAAAAAACAAAAAGAAGAAAAATAAACGTGCACAAAATGAATAATCTTTATTTTAAGTTAAGTCAGTTTCAACTGAAATTTGTGCCATTTCTGTATTGGTAGTAAAGTCAAGTTAAAAATTTCCAGTGGAGAAGTTGACCACAGGTAACACTGACTCCTCTTTTGGTTTCATTGTACATACATGGAGATGCAAATGCACAGATTTTGGGAGCTGAATGCAAAAATGTGCTTATCAACGGTTATGGTAGTAACTCACATGGAATCATACTGATGAATCTAAAAAGGGAGTTTTTCCTTCCCACTCTCGCCTGTTTTCACTATTTTATCTGTATTGGAATAGGGTCTCTACCTTACAATAAACAGCACCTGTGGTTGTGATTTGGTGTTATATAAATAAGACTGAATTGAATTTAAAAAAATGAAGAAGGCAACTTGTAAAGAATTTTAAATCATGATTTAAAATTTCAAGTAAATCGCCTCTGTCAATATTTTATGATGCAACAAATGTTCACATTTTTCTCAGACTCAAAGAAAACAAAATGTTTTTTAGGTGAGTGAGAAAAAAATGTACAAATAACCCATATGGAAAAGAAATAGTAAAAACTTATATGTGATTACTCATGAAAGTGGCCACTTTTATGAGTAAATCATATAAGGCTTACATGATTTACTCATGAAAGTGGCCACTTTCTCATTACTTTCATATATTGTTTTAGTAAGTATCCAAAACATACAAGTTTCATTATATAATTGTTCAAGGGATCTTATATCTGTTTTCACTCCTGTATGCTTTTCATACAAGTTTCACACAACACAGATACAAACTTTATAAGATTTATATATATATATTCCATATGGGAAAACCTTGTTTGTTTGTTTTTTTGAAGCCCCACAGGTACATTTGATGTGTTGCATTCATATCAGTTGTTCTGTTTTCACTTT